GTTCGCTGCTGCATAACCTTAAATAAAAGCACTATGGCACACTATGGTTGGAAGAACCGTTTCAAGTTGCTTTTTTTGAAGGTAAGTAGAGAACATGACAATGGATAGAGGCAATGCGTTGTACGCAGTGCATTGAATCGGCAAGAAATATTTGCCACAAAGTTGATCACGGAATGTTCGCCACCGAATGCTCGTCGCCGAATGCTTGTCATCGAATGCGCTGCGCCGTGAAGTTCTGGGTGTTTCGGCGGCGGCTATTGATGGTGGTCCGTGAAGCTAGCCCAAGTTTTTGTTGTGTGGGGGAAGGGGGCGCACTTGGTTCATGGTTTGTCATTGCACAACCAAGATTTTGGTTTGTCGGGCCGATCCCAAGTCGGGTGTTGATGATGGATTGAAGAGGAACGTAAGTTTTTGCTTCAGAGTGTAATTATGAAGAATGGGGGCCGGGGGGTCAGTAGGCCTATTGTTGGTGTTGATGGTGAAGAGCTGCCCTTGTATGTCGTTGGTCCATAAAAGCTATCCTCAACTTTCGCTTTATGTGGAGAGGGTAGCATGATGTTGGACGGATTTGAAAGGGAAAAATGCTGTGCAGTTATCTCAAGGTGTCGGGCGGTGGAGGGGGCGGAGTGCTGTGCTGCTACCAGGGCCAGGGCTATGGCTTGATTGGGATGGAGGATGGGTTCGGAAAAGCCGGCCGGGTGCTGTTGCGAAGCCATGCCAGTTTTGCAGCGCGGTGCTGTGGAGAAGGAGGGCGGCGCAAAGCCATCCCAATCTCTCGGGCTTCATGTATCATTGTCTGGGCCTGTCTGGGTCTGTCCAAGGCCAGCGGTACAGGTGCTGTCTGTTTGTTGGCTACTGGATGGTGAAGGACTGCAAGAGTATGATGTTGGTCCAACAAACAATCTGGGGGTGTATTTTGTTGATGTTGGAAGGGGGTGTAAAGCCAGGATGTTATCGCAATACCATGGTTTTGGTTCATAAAGCTATCCAACATTATTCAACATTTTTGCTATGAGGGGGAATCGGTTGTGCTTGGTTCATGTTAGCCAGGGTCTGTCAGGGCTGGTTCGGGGCCAGCAGTCCGGGATGTGCGCGGTGTTTGGGGCTTGCAGTCCCCTGTGCTTCATGGGCTAGTTTCTGATGGTGAATAACTCCCGTACTATGATGATTGTTCATAAAACACATTCAAATTTTTGCTTGGAGCGGAGAGCGTGGCATGATGTTGGAGCGGCAACGAAAAGGGCTGTGCAGTGGAGAAAAGGCAGGGGGACGCTGTTGTGAAGTTGTGACCATTTTTCGTTTTGAGTGGGTAAGAGGATTGGATTAGCTGAATTCAGTTTTTTTCCGGTTAAAGGGCGTGTGTGTATGTGTGTGCTTAGTTGCGCTCAAATGCCATATTATTATTACCCCACATACCTGTGGGGTTCTAGTTGTTTAGATGTACCGTCGCCCGAGCCTGCGTGCTCTTCCGTCGCGCAAACATTTTGGACGCGCCTTTGTTCGCTTCAAAATCGCGCTCTCGCTCAGAGCATCCTCAACAAATGGGCGTTCTATGTCGATTGCCGGTCCAAAAAAATTAGGTGACTTTGCCTTTACAGTAGTCTTGGTAGAGGGGACGTACCGAACGGGACGCGCCCCTGATGGACCAAAATTGCACTCCCGTGCGGGACATCCTCAAAATTCCAGGGTTTGCTTCCTCAACAATTACTCCAAAATTGCGCTCCCGCTCTAGACAGTCGCGTTTTCTTGCGTCGTGATGGTCTTTATACCTGCAAAAAACGCGCTCCTGTGCGGAGCATCCTCGAAATTTCGTCGATGTATCATCATCCTTCGATCAAAATGATTTTGCTTCGTGCGGAGCATTCGGAAAATTTGGATCATTTATGAACCATGATGTCGATGGTTTCTATACCCATTCTATACCAAACGACTGCCGGTCTACTTCGTTCGAGTCGGTTGTCTCGGTTCAAAAGAGTGGAGCGCTCCAGTATAGATTTGGTATAGGCTAGAGGGGTCCGGCACCGAACGGGTCGCCGAAAAATTGCGCTCCCACGCGGGACATCCTTAGAATTCCAGATTTTGGAAATTGCACTCCCGCTCGAGACATTCCTTTTATTTTGCGTTTCTGTCGTCTTTATATCTTCGCAAATCACGCTCTTGTGCAGAGCATCCTCGAAATTTTGTCGATTTATCTTCGTCAAATTCGATGAATATGATTTTGCTCCGTGCGGAGCATTCGGAAAATTTGGATCATTTATGAACCATGATGTGAGGGTTTCTATACCAATTCTATACCAAACGAGTAATTATCGGTGTGCTTCGTTGGAGGTGGTTGTCTTGCTGGTATTGAGCGGAGCGCTCCGGTATAGCTTTGGTATAGGATTTGCGACGCCGTCGTTCAAAATCGCGCTCCCTTGCGGAGCATCCTGTAAATTTTGAAAATTTGCGCTCCCGTGCGGAGCATCCTGAAAATTTTGATGCAAATTGCGCTCTCATGCGGAGCATCCCCAAAATTTCGTCGTGGCTTCATCAAAACTCGCTCTCCTGTGCGGAGCATCCTGACAATTTTGAATTGAATCGGGCTCCCGTGCGAAGCATCCTGAAAAATGTTAAATAATTTCGTTCAAAATCGCGTTCCCGTGCGGAGCGTCCTGAAAAATGTGAAGAAAATCGCGCTCCCGTGCGGGGCATTCTGAAAATTTCGTTGATTTTTCATTCAAAATTGCGCTCCCGTGTGCGATTTTTCATTCGTATATATCAAGTTACATACATACATACATACATACATACCTGCATACGTACATACATACATACATACATACGTACGTACATCATACATACGTACATACGTACATACGTAACACGCGCAACGTAAATCCGTACATACGTAATTACATACATCATACATACATGCATGCATGCATACATACATACATACATACATACATACATACATACATGCGTGCACACATATGCGATTAGGGGAGAAAAGCATTCAGGTCACTTGTTTGGTGCCCCCAAAACCCGCTCCAGACGCCACAAATTTACGTCGTAGAAGTGACCTAGCGATTTGGGGGAGAAAAGCATTCAGGTCACTTGTTTGCTGCCTTCAAAACCCGCTCCAGAAGGCCCACATTTGCCATCTCGCAGAAGTGACCTAGCGACTTGGGGGAGAAAAGCAAAAAGGTCACTTGTTTGGCGCAGGTGTAGGGATTACGATTAGGGTTTAAGGACTAGGGTTCAGAGTTCAGGATGAAGGTTTGGGGTTTATTTGAATAACACAAGGGCCACCATAGACATATCATGATATCATAAACAAAAGGAAGAATGCGTTTGAGAAAATCTGGCGCTATCGAACCGCCCCTTGTCTGTTTTCATACTAGGATAAGCCAGCGGTTCGACAACGCCAAACTTTCGACAAGGATATGCGTCAGGAGATTTGGTGATATCGAGTCGCCCCTGCTTGTCCTTTATTTGAACCAGACACGCGGTGCCATAGACATATCATAAGATCGAAAACAAAGGAAAATATGCTTGAGAAAATCTGGTGCTATCGAACCGCCCCGTGTCTGTCTTCATACTAGGATAAGCCAGCGGTTCGACAACGCCAAATTTTCGACAAGGAGATGCTTCAGAAAATAAAAGGAGAATTGCAAGGGTCAGAAATCGACGTTTTCTGAGACGTCTAGAATTCACCAGGAAATTCATCCCCAAACGGAAAGCAGTGTTTTCAATTAACTCTAGGACAGAAATCACCGTTTTCTAATCCCTAGAATTTCCCGCGATCCCCAAATGGAAGGAACCCCAGGAAAGCTGGAAACTGGCTTTGTTTTCAATTAGTTAACTCTAGTATAGAATAGTTAGAAATCGCCGTTTTCTGAGCCATTTAATGGAAGGAACCCCAGGAAAGCTGGAAAATGGCTCTGTTTTCAATGAACTCTAGTATAGAAATTGCCTCATCCCCGAACGGGAGGAAACCCATGGCCCATGAAAGCCGGAAAATGGCTTCATTTTCAATTAAATGCAGTACAGAAATCGCCGTTCTCTGAGCCCGTAGAATCGCCCAGGAAATTCGTTCCCAAATGGAAGGAACCTCAGGAAAGCCGACAAATGGTTCCGTTTTCAGTTTTCAATTCACTTTAGTACAGAAATCGCCGCTTCCAGAACTTCTGGAATTCACCAAGACATTCATCCCCGAATCAAAAGTTGCGCCCCCGTGCAGAGCATCCTCCACATTCCGTCGATTTCATCGTTCAAAATCGCCCTCCCGTGCGGAGCATCCTGAAAATTCTGATGCAAATTGCGCTCCCGTGCGGAGCATCCTGAAAATTTTGATGCACATTGCGCTCCCATGCGGAACATCCCCGCGGAGCATCCTGAATTTTTTGAATGAAATCGCGTTCCCCCCCCGTGGGGAGCATCCTTAAAATTTCGTCGTCTTTTCATCAAAAAATGCGCTCCAGTGCGGAGCATCCTCAAAATTCAGGCGATATAGGGCTAATCAGAATTAATCATAAGGGTATATATATATGTAAGGGGTTCATAAACCCTATAAATCGTCAAGTAAAATTACATGATAATCTTCCAATTTGGCCCTATCTGATTGTCCCCAAAGACTTCGTTGATGACAGCCAAAGCCCATAAAAGGTCAAATCGCACGCAGTGTCCCCCTTTTTTTGGGAATCATGCGCAAATCATTTTTCCTAATCTCAAATCGCTAGGGGCGTCCCCTGAGTCCCCTGAGATTTTTCAGAGAATCAATTCCAAAAAATTCAAATCGCAAGGGGTGTCCCCCTAAGATTGTTCAGAGAATCATTTCCCATATCTCATAAGATTTTTCAGGTACTCAAGTCCCCAAATCTCAAATCGCAAGGGTGTCCCCCTAAGAATTTTTCAGAGAATCAAATCCCCAAATCCCAAATCGCAAGTTCAGATAATCAAGTCCCCAAATCTCAAATCGCAAGGGGTGTCCCCCTAAGATCTCAAATGTCAAGGGGTGCTCCCTAAGATTTTTCAGCGAGTCATTTCCCCGGTGTTCGTCTCGTTTTCTTGTTCTTCTTTTATTCGGCGGGCGACGGCATCCTAATATCATTTCATTCAGATTCATCTTAAACTACACATGTGGGGTTCCCCGGTCCTCAAATTATTTTTTATCATCATCATTATGTTGTTTCGCTTTGGGGGGGAACCGGGGTGTGCTTGGTTGATGTTGGGAGGAGGGGTAGTGCCGTGCGGTTGTCGCAATACCAGGATGTTGGTCCATCAAGCTACTTAAAGGTGAACAGGGCGTCCTGGGTTGATGTTGGGCAGGAAGTGTGCTGCGCAGTTACCACAACAATACCAGGATGTTGGTCCAAGAAGCTATCTACATGTTTCAATTGAAGTTTCCCCGGACACATCAACAATGTGATATGGATGTTTGACAACTGATCTCCAGCTAGGATTCTGTGCTCAGACTTTCCTGGTACCAGTCCTTGTTTGCATGTTGAAAAAAGGTGTTGCCACTTAAAGCCACGATCCTTTCCACGGCATCCTTGTTGAAAAATATGCCGCCTGTAAGATGCAGGGATATTCCAGCTTGGGCTAGCCTCTGGCTTTTTGGACATGAAAGATGCCAAGGACCTTGGCAGCATGCGGCAATTTTGCAGACGTTCGGTGTAGTTGAAGCAGAAGTCGCTCAGTACCCGCAAACAATAACAAACGCTGTGAACTTGACATCACCATCAGCAACATGATTCAGCAAGGCCTCAAGGCTTGTGAAAGACAGGGGCGAGCTCGTTATTGACCCGCAAACTGGTCAGTGTGTGCTACCACCATGCCAGAAAGTTTGCAAGAAGGACATCTCTCAGCCGACTGCGTTCTGAAATGCCTCAATATGCTTCAGTGTGTTTTTCTGTTGTGTTGTGTTGGAGGAGTGCTTAGCCATCGTTGGCTTCTTGGCATAGACCATGGAGGAGCCTGTGAAGGGTTTAGGAGGCAGCTATCTAGACAGCCTGAATTGAAGACTTTTCCAGCTTTCATTCATAGCAGTGACATGTGACAAATCGAGAAGTGTTGCAAGTTCTCGGGATACCTGTAATGGGCTGGTGGGAGTTGGAATGCACCTTGCAAATTTTGCATTACTTCTAAGTAATCAAGTCTCATCCAGAGTGAAAGCTCGAGTTGTCATTGCCATATCCTCGCACTGGATCATGTTTCTGGGGTGGGCCCACTCATGCAAAAACCAAGCCCAGGAATTGTGAATGACAAGAACATTGCGTACTGCGAGCGTCGCTGCGAGGCGTGCATCAAGTTACAACAACATGCAGCGTTGCATTGTGCTTCTCTGCAAGCTGGCGTCAAGAGGACGACTGTGCCGCTGGAGATGGCTTTGGTTCCACGGAGAGCTACAGTGAAGACAATGAGCTCATTGCAAGGGATGCCGAAAAGTCTCCCGGGGAACGGTTCGTGGCTGGGCATGCCAGTAGGTTTTGATCTTGACTGGATTGCGGGAACAGTCGTTGAGACAAGTTTTGTGGCTTGCTTCCGAGCGTCTGCCTGCATGTCAGTTTCCAAGATGATTGAAAGAACTCGCCCGCCTAGCAGGCTGAGTGGGGTGTGGAGATGAACGCTCAGATGCTTGATTCCTTCATGAAGATGCCAGGGGCAAAGCCAGGCCTGGGCGGTAGGAACTGAACAGTTAGCCTTTCGCCCAGCTTGACTGGCAAGGTCTGCAGCCCGACTCCCTTTCCGCGATGGGCGACGACCTACCCCAGGCCGCGAAGACTGACTCGAAGCCAATTTTCGATGCTCGGGATCTGTTCCGGAAGAAGTGAGCGCTGTCTTCACTTTCATTTCACATGCTTGTGGGGAGAGCGGGACGGTGTAGACGCCGATGGGGGCCTGCCTTTCACGGTGACAAAGTGTGCCGGGCGCCTTCAGGCAAAAAGCTCGGGCCTGCTCCCTCCAATTACAGTAAACCTGCAAAGCGCAGCAGCTGCAGCCCTCGTTGCTTTGCTAGGAAACGCCTGCAAGTCGGTGCTGGAAGCGCATGCTATTACCCTGCCGCCCCAGGCCACTGACCAAGGGCGTGAATGGAGGGAGTGATATGACTCAGACTCCGGTGCCTTCTGTGCTGGCCTTGGTTGTGTTTTTGCAGACGCTGTGACAGGAGTCGTTTTCATTTTTGGGAGCAATTATTTACGAGTTGCTAGGCGCAGGCTGCGCGTGTGAAAGACAAGGCAAAGGGAGTTGGCGCGAAATGTTGCAGACCTTGAGATGCTGCAAAGTGTCCCGTCGGGAGGCGCCAGGTGAGGGCCTTTGGCTCTTCCCCAGCATTGGCCAGGCTTACATGCACCGATTTAAACCTGAACCTTTATGAAGAAGCTCTTGTAAGCTCTTGTACGCAACTCGGCCAGGCTCTGCCGTCCTTTGTCACACGGGAGCCGCCGGCCAAGAGCGTGAAAGCGCCATAGGATTTGGAGAAATTTGAAAAGCGAACAGCACATCAGGTCATTTCGCTACCAGCCACTTGCAACTCAAGAGGCCTGGAGCTTTGGAGCGTCGCGGGAAGGAAATTCTGTTCTCCGAAGCGGAGACAGCTCAAGGAAATGTGTTATCTTATCAGGAAATGCCGGCGCACCATGCCAGCCCTGGCCCCGGCCCTGGGCTTGCTGGCCCCTCCTTGCAGGCGCAGCACAGCATGCGCGGCATGGTGGAGGAGTTGCTTGGAGCTTAGGACTAGGAATTCATAGCATTCGCCAGGTGGGGTTCCCGCCTTCACCCGACAGCTTTGCAGGCATCGCGTGCAAAAGCAAGCAATAGCTAAGTTGCCCAGCCCTCTCAAAGAATGTTAGGATGGCATGCTCCGCATGCTCCGCAGCCGAGCTCTTTCTCCTTGATGCTGCCGGCTCTGTGCGTCATTCTCCGCCATTTGTGCGCAGGCTTTCTGTCTGTTTGTGGCTTTGCTTTCAAAGCGGATCTTGGGGAAGCCGAAGCCGTTTTGGTTGGAAGCTGTGCGCCGCTTTGTGTTGGAAGAGGGTCTTGGCTTTCTCCTGTGCCTCATGTCGAACCCCGCCTCACTGCCCATTCCTGGCCGTGCAGATGGAAGAAGCTCGTCGCGGTTAGTCCAGGTGCTTGTGGAAGTCTTTGCTTTTGTCCTTTTTTTCAGATTTTCTCAGGTCCACAGGCTCAGAGCCTTCGCGAACAGGACACGTGGTTTCCCATGTAGATACGAGTCATACGAGTGTAAGCAACGGGTGCGCTGCGTGCCAGGAACAGAAAGAGGCAAGAAAGAAGTTCTTTGACAGGCCCATGGCCCGTGCCCCTAAAAAGGGAAGTCGTGTTTTGTGTAAAACGTAGTATCAAGGCACAGGCAGCTCAAGGCGGGCCTGGACAACCAGCGCCAGGAGGAACATCGTGCTGAGAAGGCCTTTGCTTCGCATGCTCGATTCTTGACTGAGCTCTTGCCTTGATGATTTCTAGCCACGCTAGTCTTCTTTTCTGCGGGTTGGTGCAGCACCCAAGGAGAGCAGCGAGCGGGATATGAGACGCCGTCAGATTGGACACGGGCCAGGTTGGAGGAGATTGACGCGAAAAGGGCACGGCAGCGGGCATACGTCAGGCGCCCTCTTGGAAGCCCTCCCTTTGTTTGGGGGTCGGGGGGCGTAAATGCGCAAAATCTGCGATGACGCCGATCCTGAAAATCACAGCGGTTGCAACACTTTGAGGTATGTTTTCCTGTAACAGGCTTGTTCTTTGCAGGCCAGCGCAGCATTCGGGCGGGGGTGTTCTGTTGCTGCCTTGCGGCCCAATAGGCCTGCCCAAATTGGAGGCATCATCTCCATCAGTACAAGAGTCGCCCCATTAGTCCAAGCGTGTGAGGGGTTCTGTTTTGATTTTCTAGTCGCCCCATTAGTTATCATTAGTCCAAGCTTCGCCCCATTAGTCCAGGATGCTTCCCATTAGTCCAAGCGTTGCCACATTAGTCCAGGGGCGAGAGGAGTTCCGCTTTTATACTCAAAGATTTCCTTATTGGTAGCGGCTGGTAGTGTTCACGCAACCCCAAACGTTCAGGGCTTGCTGGGTATTCTTGTGTTTTATGTGCGTAATATGGTGCTGAGCTAGCATGTCAGCTGATTTGGAGACTCTTGGGCAGACCATGCGTTTCCTGTCAGGATGTGGTCAATCAAGGACAGCTCAACACTCTTGCTACGCAGGTGATGCTTCTTCTATCTTCTTCTCAATTTCTGCTGCATCATTTCAGGGTTTGGAATTCTAGGCGGCGCACACGCTAGCTGCGCCCGCATCGGTGTAATCCACATGGCGCAATCGCTCCTCACCTACATGCGCACAAGACAGAATATGGGATTCATGGAGAGGGAGCAGTTTTATTTGAAGAGCGCTCGGAGTTTAACTTGTGAAGTAGGTCATTGCAAATAGAAAGCATTGACTTCGACTTCGTAGATGCTGCTGCTGCTGCGAAGTAAAAGGATGCCAATGCCCTGGCTCGCCAGGACTTCTCCTCTCTCCGAGTGCTTGGCAAGGGAGCCTTTGGAGTAGTTCACCTCGTTCAAAGACAGGGCACGGAGGAGGTCTACGCATTAAAGCAGATTCAGAAGCGGCACTATTTCAACAAGAACCGCATGAAGGCAGCGTCCAGTTCTGCAGAGCCTCAGCCTGAGAGCTTGCGAGAAGAACGTATCCCTGAGGCCTACAATGAGAGAGATGCCCTTTCCCGTGGCCATGGGCTTTGGTTCGTGGACCTCTTATGTACGTTCCAAGACTCAGAGCACATCTACATTGTCATGGAATTTGTGCAAGGCGGGACTTGGAACTGTTTTGTTGATTCGCCTTTTCCGCCAATTATGTGAGCCTGCTTTCTGCGTCGCCAAGTTGGCTGCATGAAGGCCCTCTGCACTGTTGCGCTTTTGAATGATCATGCCTGAAGGACTTCACCATCACGAGCACTTTTGCCCTTGAGATCTATTCGTCTTGGTATCCAGAATGTGGCTAGCAGTGGTAGTGTGTCATCATCAATCTATTTTCCATGCATTCGGTTCTGCTGTTTTCATAAAAGCTCCTTCCTTGGTGGCCGTGCAGCAGCTGCGCTCATGGCAGGGTCTCAAATCTGGCCAAACCTGGAGGATACTTTTATTGGCATGTTGCAGAAGAGAAGGAGTCTTGCGAACACGCGTGCATCCGTGCACATGAGGGAATGTCTGCGATTGTTAGGTGATGCCGCCACGTTCTGCGTGCTGATAAACTCTTGTGAATGCGACGTATCTTGCTGCCTGTAAGAATATTGGTCAACACTTGGCGGCCTCCAGCTGTTGCCGCCGACCAGGAAACAAGGAAGCCAAGAAGGCACTGCAGCGACGCCAGTTTTGACCATTACTGAGGTTTGGAGGAGCCCCTCTGCTTCCCCCAGGCTGTGAGCAGTCTTCAGCATTGCCACAATTTTCTCTGCGCTAGACACCCGGCCCAGTTTTTGCAGGGCTTCAAGCCACCTTTCAGTTTGGCCGGAAACTGCGATGTGGACCCTAACCCCTGCTCTGAACCAAAACTTGGGTGCCTCCTCCCAATGGTGGGAGTTGGCTTAGCTAGATCTTTCTAAAGTGGTTTTCTTCACGAGAACCTGTCAAAACCTAGCCTGCTTTGCACATTGCCATTGCAGATCAAGTCTGACATCCATAGGGATATGCATTACACGCAAACGTTCATGTTCTTGCCAACCACCATGCAGACATATCATTGCTACAGCCTGACTGTCTGCGGTGCGAGTATGCCGGACCTTTCGTTGCTGCTGCTGCTGCTGCTGGAATCATGCTGGGTGGGACGGGGCACGAATTCACTTTTACCCCATATACTGTAGCCTGCAGCCAATCAATCAATCGACTTGAAGTTGTCAAAGGCCATCCAGCAATTTGCGCTGCGGCTTTGAAAACGATTCGAGAGAACTTAGAGGTCAAAACCACCCGAGACAACAAGAAAGCCGATGCAAATGCTTCTCCGTCTGCATGCGAATGCCAGAGGTATCATCACTTATGCCTTGCTGGCACCAATCGTTTGGTATTATGAAACATCCTGCCCTTTTATTTTCAGGAAAGGGCTCCCTGCCGCAGCAATAGTGCCAGTTTCGAGCTGTCGCCTGCTTTTAAGCAGATCTCGTGCAGGCGGGGACTTCTTTGCTTACATGGAGAAGAAAGATAAGCTGTCAATGACTGAAACGCGCTTCTACATGGCAGAGCTGATCAGCGCCATCCATGCAATTCACCAGTGTGGCTTTATCCACCGAGCTGGGGCTGCAGTTTGGAAAGGGTCCTTTTTCGCCAGCTGTTGACGCTGTTGCTTGCGTTCCGAGCTAGTCGGCCAGTCCAAGGTGACCTGAAGCCTGACAACCTCGTGCTGACAGCGCAAGGGCATCTAAAGCTGCTGGACTTCGGCTTGTGCACGCCTGTCGATTTTGAGGACTTACTCTGTCTGGCGAACGCGTACAGATCCCGCAACCCAAGCTGGCAGGAGTACATGGCACAGAGCGAGTACGACAGCAAGTATCAGGGTGTCAACTTCCAGGAAAGACCAGGCGGGAATTCCTGGATGTTGCCCCGGCGCTGTGGCTGCTTTTGTTTTGTTTCTCGCTCTCGCTGTGCCCGCAGTGCCCGAGGCCGAGAAGGGCTGCGAACAGCCTGTGGAACGCCACAATACATGAGTCCCGCAGCTTGGCTGTTAACTGAGTACGGCTTTCTTTTCGAGGCCTCTGCTAGACACAGGAGATGTTCAACGGCCGCGCATGTGCGGCTTCTGATCTGTGGGCTCTTGGTATCATCACGTGCTTTGGCAGCACTTCTGGCACTCACGGCAAGTCCTGCCCTGCAAGAAGTCAAGGTTCGAATGCCTTTCCGGAAGCTTACCCTTCTACACGCAGAGTCGCGACCGGCGGCGGGCCTTCCAGGCCTTTGCAAGCTGATTCTGTGATATCGGATTTTTGGTGATTGAGGAACTCAGAACACAGATCCAGCATCACGCAACTTGGAAGCAGCTAAAGATAAGATACTTGGCAGGGCTAGGTGCTGCTTCGAGGAAGCCAATCTGCCGTCCCGGCTTGCTCGGATGCAGAAAAAGCAGAGGGACCTGGGAGCGTCTCCACAGGATTGCCTCCAGGCTTCGGAGTTTGTGTCCAAGGCCTGGCGGGCTGTATCAGTCGTGACAAGCCACTCAAGCCTGATCGGATTCTTGCCAGGTGATATGCCCTGTTGAACGTCGAATCACTGCCTATGAGTGCCAGCTGGAAGACTTCTTCAACGGCCTGGAGTTCAGCCGTTTACAGGTCCTCGCGTCTTGAGGGGTTGGGTCCGTTGTGTGTTGCTTGGACTGCGAGCGCGCCTGGCTTTGACGTTTTGGCTGGACAGGAGATGCAGCCGCCCTATCAACCTGTCTGCAAGAATGCGGTCGATGCTTCCAACTTCGATGACTTTCCAGCGGAGAAGCTGCCCTCTCCAGAGGAAAAACGTCTAAACTTGCTCAAGACAGAAGATATGACTGATATGACCCACAGTCAATACTCGTTGGTAAGGAGTTATGTTAGGGGCATGGGAAGCAAAAACCCCCTAAAGCGACTGGAACATTGAACTGACTGTCCAGAGTTTTCAGGCAAAAGCTTTGTAAAGCGACGGGGAACATAAAAAAATCAATGCCCCAAAATCGACACAGTCGCAGGCCGTGTATAAAACCTTGTAAAGCCATAGGAAGATTGATATATTCCCCTGTGAGTGAACCCAGGCGTCTTAGCAGAAGCCAGGGATCCACCTGGCGAGTGCATGGCCATGGGACCATCCTTTCCTAAAAGCACGCTTGCCAGCAGCACCCGCTCCAATTCTTCGTAACAGGCATGTGCAGGTGTACGTGACCGGAACCTGTTGGCCGCAAAAGAGAACGCAGGGAAACATGTGCCCAGCCGTTTTCCTGAACTGGGCGGACTCCGATGTCATGAAAATCGTTCAAAGATTTCACACCTACTCCGGAGCTACTGACAGGATCTGACAGGGGTCGTGGGGATTTGTGCATCCGCTGGTAACACCGGAGGCTTTCCCCAAGCATCCCGCTTTGAAAATGCTTTCAGAGATTCTGTCGCAGGGGGATGGGGTGTTTGTTTCTTGGCTGCCAAGTGAGGATTTCACTTGCATGGACCCCAATCTCGATTGGCCTCTCTATGAAGATGATGCGGAAGCTGCTCGAGCTCGTGGCTTGGCTGAACAGGAGATGCTTCTTATCCCGATTCATCCTGGCAGCTCCCAAGGTGAGGCGGGCAGATCTCGTTGAGCCTCTTGACCAAGCAGCGTGGGAGATCGCTGGGTTGGGTTGTGCAGATTCATTATGAGCTTGGGCTCTGGGTTCGGAATTTCTGCTGCAGGCGATTCAAGGGCAGGAGCGACTAATTCTTTCAAAGCATGAGCAGCAATCAGCTTCACGCTGCTGGCTGTAGCTTCCAGAAGCTGCATTGTTCTATTCTCTGCCTTAGCTGCAAGTGCGTGAGCGCAGCCTACATGTAAACCATGCAAGCGTTGGAGGCTAAGCGCCGCTCCATCATGCTATCTCAAAGTGAATTGGTTGCAAGCTCCCACCCACAGAATTCAGAATGCCGACGTTTTGCCGACATCAGTCGGCCGGTGGTTGTCAGGAGGTTCTTTCAGACAAGAGTGCTTTGCAACGCAACTACCCCAAAGGAGCTAGAACACCCGAAAAAACAGAAGTATCCCATACCATACAGGATGTGCTAACTTCTGGAATCTCCTTTTTAACTCCTCTCTCGCCCATGCCTGTCTGGAGCTGAAATGTGGAGCAAGCCCAGGGGCGGGCAAATTCGAGTCTTTCGAGCCTTTTGCAGTGCGGGTTTGCATATCTCCTGCCCTGCCACCTCGGAGTGTACAGAACTGGAGACCTTGGCCGGACCTGGCCAGAGATCTGGTGAAAGCCGGATTCAGCATGTCCGAGACATGAAAAGTGTTGCAGTTGATGCCACCAGGTTCGCCTGCAGATACTCGTAGTTGCCTTTTAAACGAGGAGGTATTTTCATGAGGAACCCTGGGAAGAGAGTTGCTCGAAGCTCGGCCCAGGCCACCAGCTGCGGCTTCAGGTCGCGGCCTTAACTGCCTTAACCAAGCGGAAGGCAGCGGTCTAAAGAACATGGCAGCCTGCAAAGCTGCCCCCGAGCACAGAAGCAACGGAAGCAACGCCTACACGTCCTGTGCTCCTGCAACTCTAGCGGCCACGCCGCTTGTCGTTTTGCAACCACGCGGCTAAGATTTGTTGGCGAGACTTCTGAGGAACACCCCAGACGCGCCGATTCCAGCAAAGCCTCCAATCCAAACTCAAACAAATGCCTTTAAACCAGAATCAAATCCTAAAGCCTGAATCCTTGACCCCTGCAGGAAGGAATGATTCAGTTTCTGATGGATTCAGCCTGTGGACTTTGCTGATGATGTAGGGTTTGGGCTTCAGGGTGTAGGCTTCAGGATGCCTAGCCTGGTGGATTCAAATAGTAGGATTTCGGAGTTCTGGATAGTCCGGATTTGGGCAGAATGTCATTTCCTCACTCTTTCTTTGGGGCTGAGTGGGTTCCCCAGGCTTGGGGCTCAGGGTGTTGAGCTTCATGATTGCGTAACCCGTGGTTTTTAGGGCAAGGGTTTTGGTCTCAGGAAAGGTTTGAGTTTTAGGAATTTATGGGTGCTCAGCGGCAAGCTCAGCGGCAAGGTCGTTCTGGTACCCTCGTCCGGTACATTCTCCCGGTACCCTCTTCCAGTGGTCGGCTTTCATCTTGTGGCGTCACTGACACTACACTAAGACTTCAGGGTCTGCATCTCCAAACTTACCATGCAGCATGCAGGCTGGTCTTAGGTCTTAGGCGTTTCTGCAGAACGGTTTTCACCGAATGAGCTTCCGTCGTCGCCCAGCGCCGTCATTTACTCTTCAAGATGTCATCGTCACCAGATGCCTTGGGGAGGGTCTGAAGTCAGCAGAAGGAAGGCTGATTTGCGAGCCGTTAGGATCTAAGGTCTTCAGCTCCAGATGTACAGCCCTGAGCTTGGGCCCTCTGCTATGGGATCTTTGCCGCCGAGAGAGGCCAGGTCCAGCCTTTCCTGCCTCGCCGGTCCCTGGGATGGTATTTGTCTGGAGGACCCGCGCATGCAAGCGATGTTGCATGCAGCGTGGGCGTCAAGGTGCAACTTGAAAAGCCTTGCAGATAAATGTCAGTCAAGGTAGTCCTGCAGGCTAACGCAGGGGAGCGCTTGGTCCTCCGCAAATGCCTGATGCCTCAGATCGCAGTCTCCTGAGCCGTATGACAGACACGTCAAGTGTCAAGGCCCCGCATCCGCCGGCAAGTGCGTCAAGCTTTGCCCAGAGCTGAGGGGCTGGCTGTCGCTGAGGTGAACAAGTTGGATCAAGTTGGCAGACTCTGCATGCAGGCAGATGCCGGGGTTGTTCAAGCGTTTGCCCCAGCAAGTGTGCACTGGGGATTCAGAGCAGGACCGCGTAAACCCAGCGAGATGCTACAGCAGTCTTCAGCAAGGAGCTTGCTTCAAAAATCTGAGGCAGAGCTGGCCGGACCTGTGCAGGCCAGAACTCCACGAGCCTGCGGCCTGCAGGCATCAGCTCTTCTGCTGGACTGCTCAGGTGGAGACCCCAGCACCTGGAACTGGCCTCGCTGCTGGCACCAGCAAGGCAATGAGACTTTCCACGGCCTAAATGCATGACACCAGTTTGAGCAGTGTACTCGCAGCATGAAAACGTACACGCAGCTCCTCGGATAATTTGTCTGAGAAAGTTGGTCCTTCAGAGCTGTTCTGAGGCAGCAGCGGAGTACTGGGCTGAAGTTGCCGCAGCAGTTAGCCCGCCGCGACCACAGCCGCTGTCAGCCGAAATCCGAGACATGAAATAACCGGCACGCTTGGACCCATGATGCTACAGCTTCCTTACTCAGAGTTGTACTTGGCAGTCGTTGTCTACTGTGCAGCGCAAGAGCGCGGTGGTTTCCTTCCAAATACCAGAGTCTTCCTGCAAAGGCAGGAGCTGCTGGGAACGTCTTTTGTCTTTCTGAGTGCCTCTGCCCGTAATCCCGGGCTGGGCATAAGCCACAATTAAGCTACAATGCTCACAGCATCAGCTGGCAGACACGGTCTGTGAGCCCCAATCGTCACAAGAACAAAGGAGAGCTGCATACAACTTCTGCCCAAACGCAGTTTGCGTTTGCAAGGCTTGTAGAAAGCTGCAGAACTCGTTTGGCAGCGTCTTGGCTCCAGCCCAAGGGCCCGTGGGCAGGTCATGGCGCCACCGTGGCAGCCTCATCGTTCCATGAAAAGAACCTTTCAGTGGCACGTGAACCGCCAGGGAGGGCCAAGAGGACACGTGCCAGCTTCGGCGAGGGGTGTCGGAACCCAAGATGCCTCAAAGTGGGGGGGTATGCGGATCGGGAATTTGTCTGAACCGAGTGTCTTTGCCTCGCAGTTCGGCCTAAGTATGAGGACTGGATACTATGTGTTCATTCCGCTGGTGCTAGCAAGAGCATTGTACAATGCACTGGCTGCCTGACTGTCTGAGGGATTGACTGGTCAAGGAGCCCTCCCAAAAGGATCAGCTTGTTGTAGCTCCCCCAGCCATCCTTCTTCGAAATTTCCCTTTCTTCAAAAGTATGCTCTCAGCAGGGGACCCCGTCAGGATGGGTTCATGCTTCCCGCATCTACACGCGCGGATGTGAGGGCTGCTATGGCAAGAGACCCTTCTAAGGCTGGTGCGCATCCGTGGTCTGAAGAGTGCCGAAGGCTCTCAGCTCAACGGGCAGCCGCGATCTGAGTTTGGAGATTCTCCTTGCATGACGTGCAGGAAACACACACAACGCTTCCAGCATTTCAAGCGTCTAAACGACTAAACGGTTGCACCTGGACTGTTGGCAGCACTTGGCGCGTGGATTGTCCGAGTTTGCTCCCTTCCCATGAAATGCCCCCTACAGACTCTCAAAGCACCGGGGCAAGGCTTGGGGGCACCAGTGACCAGCGATTTGATATTTGCTCTCTAGAGCTACTGCGGAAGGGGCTATGAGCTGAAACCAGGCTCCACAGGGAAGCTCTGCTTCAGGCTCGGGCGCTGTGACCGTCTGAACGATAAGACTGGGCGAGGTCCTCAGATCCCGCGGCGTGTTGCAGCGTTCTTGTCGAACCTTTATTGCTTTCTGGTTAGAGAAGCACTTGTGATGGAACCAGGCGATGGGGAGTAATCTTGGGAGACGGCACAAAGAAGGCGCAACACGATCGCGAGCTCATGGCTCGAACGGGATTGCATGCAGGCCTTGAAGGCCGAGAACCTGTTTTCGTTCGACGAGTATCTCAAGGCGTGCCATAGTACGAGCAGTATGACTAAGCACGAGAAAAGGCATTCCATTTTCTCTTCGTCTTTTCCAGGTAGCTCATGAAGGGCGGACGCCAGTGGACATTGGACTGACGTAGTGCAATTGCGATGAAGTGCCGGTGGCTGGCAGCAGCTTACAGTTGGCCCACCTGTTGGTAGGACCCTTCATGAATGATTTCCTGACCAACTCTAAGTACGATGTGCAGTTCTTAGTGAGCGAGGGCAGGTTGATGCTGGCAGTGCTGATGGCGGCAAGTCAAGGCCCCAGGCAAGACTGCTGCTGGCTACAAGGCCGAACCAGGTGCAACCGCAAAACAAAGTGATAATTGGATCTTTGCGTTGCTGTGGAATACCAATGCTGCAAAAGGCCGCATAGTGCCGCACTGCATCAGTCTAGTGCCCCCCAATTCTTCAACTGGCTTGGAGCTGCCAAGTATGGCCTGGAAGCTGCCCATAGTCTGGCCGTCAAAGCTGTCAGTGCAGGGCTTTCACCGCAAGAGCGGCTTCAACAGTCGTACGAGAAGGCCTTCATTTCCAGACTCAGTCCGAATCCGGTCTCCATCTGAGCAAAGCCACTCTGGCCGCAGGCCCAGCGCGAGGGTCGTAAAGCAAGCCCGAGGTTGAGCAAATGGCCCGGAGATTTCATTGCCAGCAGAAATTTCCTCTGCTGTGCTGTTTTTTAGGCAAAGATGAAGAGAAATCTGGCAAATATTCACCATTCGTCGTGAAGAAGGTGCCGTTTGTCTTGCCGGCTTGAAGCAGGAGCTGAAGAGTGGACATGAAAGGTCGAACTCCAAGCTGGTCCCATCGAACTTGGAATCATTGCTCCCCGCAGCCAGGACAGTCTGTCATCAATCTGTCGAGGGGACTCGAAAGTATCTTCTGTTGCTTAGGACTCCCGGCGGCCGATACCTACCATACTCGCAATCTCAAGAGGGGACCAGAGCTGCGACCTTTGGTTTTGTCATGCTCAGACAACGACAGCCGCTCGGGCAAGGTCATGTCGCGAAGCTTTTCCGAGCTCTGCGGGCAGAAGAGCGTGGCTGGCAAGTGTGTCTCAGCTCTGTTTTGCAAGGGTAGAAGCGCATGAAACAGCTAAGCACAGCTAGTGGCCAAGGCTTGTGCCAATGCGAACTGCAAACACTCCGGATTTCTTCGAACCGCCACGAGCTAAGCATCTAAAAAAAAAGGCCACGAGTGGGCCTCATCCCCCACTTGTGCAGGGCCGGACAATCGATCTTGGAACAGCTCATGAAGGCTAGGCTATCACTTTTGGCTCTAAGCATATTGCAGCATTGACGGCGATTTAGGACATTGGGAGTTTGTGCAAAAACGGCGATTATGCTGCGAGCACTTCACTGGCGCCGCTTGTAGGCGGTGCTGGAAGATCGGGAGAGCGACATCAGCCCCTTTGGAGCAATGAGCAGGGCACCTAGCAACGCAGCAGATCTCATTCGGCATGTAAAGCCTGAGCCCTGAAGGCAATGTGTTCCACTTCCTGGGCATTAGCCACGGTGGCTAACTCGGCTCTAAACTTTGTGCCTGTTTGTCAGTGTCGCATTTCCAAGGAGCCGCTGCCCTGCTGTCTTTGGCTTGCAAGTCTCCTGAACAGGTTGTAGCACACCAAGAGTTGCAAATGGCTGCAGCATCTTGAGATTCTGGCATGTAGAAGTGAGCCCAGGGCTCCCTGACGCTCATCCAGGGTTTCTTGCCACAGCTGACAGAGGTACAGGTGGGCATCAGCAAAAGCCAGTGAGCTCTGTCACTTGCTAGTCTCTCCGCGAGGCTCTCAGAAATATGGAGAACATCCACTTCTACGTAGGCGACCAGGACGAGCTGGGCCTTGGGCCAAGTGAGGGATGTTTTTCTGACGCCGACAGAGACAGAAACGGAGGGAACTGTCATGAAAGCTAGATCCTCGAAGCTTGCGGGCGTTCTTGAGGATCACCTGGTCTGACATTTCAAAGATTTGAGCCTGTGGATTTCTTGCGACGTGTAGTCAAGTTTGTAATGCCATTAGCGTTGGCTTCAAAATATTACCTACCGGAACGTTTTAGTGATGAGCAATCAGAGGTGTTACAATGCATTCTAAGGGAGTAATGGGTCATTATTATGCGGAATCATAATTGATTCTGACAGGGTTCCCGGATATAGTGTTTCTCACATGTTCAACTCTTTAAATGTTTTGGAAGGCTTCTTGCTAGGGGATGCAAGAGTCCAAAGGCAATGCAATGGGAATTCATGGCTGACTTGATTCCTACTTTTCTTTTGTTATTCTAGGTCATCAGCAGATTTCGTAGTGCGAAGGTGATTGCCTTAAATTATAAGACATGAAACGGGCTTAGATACATCCAAAAAGTCCAACCGAGACTAGGATTAGGGATCTCCTGATTTGTTCTTGAGCAAGTGATGGTCTCAAGGAAAGCTAAGCTGGCATCTCTATAATTTCATCAATCAAAATCTCCCGAATAATGCGTACCTTTTTGGCATATTATATGTATGTGTATATATATATATATGTTTTTGAACATTCTTATGGGCCCGTGATGGCTCATTATTGGCCTTGGGGGCGGGAGGGATCCGTTTCAGCATCAGTGGCTCTCATACGCCCTGCTGTTGCTCTGAGGCCATCGTGAGTATCTTAGAGGCATCAAAGACTCGCTCAAGGCACACTGCAGTCGGCACACTTGGCGGGTTCTATGAACATGACATTGCAGGAAGCTGGTGGCCGTTTGCATACACACATTGTCCCGCACCAGAACCACTGGAAGCCGAGTCATTGGTCCAACAACTCTTTGGACTGTGAGGTCAAAGGCGCCAGCCACTACGACATTGACAAGTTCATTGACTTGGAGGCTATCGCCGAAGTCGCACTGATTTGCAGCGTTGAAGGACCTTCATCCTATGTTCCTTTAGTGTTGTAGGACTTGTGGAAGCGGCTGGAGTTGGCTCGCTAACTTGCACGCATGGAGCGCAAGGCGTTAGCAACCAGAAGGTTTCACACTTGCCCGGCAAGATGTCTATGGCTGGGATCAGGAGTCAAGGCTGGCTGTTTTCACATCTTCCAGCAGATCTGAGTGTGAGCTTCGCGAGCCGCCAAAGCAAAGCCAATGTTTCTGTTCTGGAACGCAGACTCAGATACTCATCATTTGCAAGCACGGCTTTGCAATTCAGCAATTCCTGTACATGGTCTTGTTGAGATCCTTGTTGGGATTCAGTGGTGCAGCAACCTGGCTTGCTTTTCTCGGCTCGAAGGCTCAAAGGCTTAAATCCCGAGTGGGTCTTGACATGGCGGAGCCCATGCCCAGGAAGCGTAGAAGAGGCGCCGTCTACCTTGACTCCCTGGGCCTTCCCTCAGACATTGTTCGGGAAGGACATGGCGACCTCCCATGGGCTTGGCGTCTTGAAGACATATCCCTGCGTACACCGCACCCTAGAGCGTCCAAGTCACAGGATGTTGCTCCACTTGTACGTTGGCTCGACAGAGACCTCACGTCTCCGCCATCTTTGAGGAGCTTCATCGGCTTTGAGCCAGCGGCACGGCGGCAGCGAACAGAGCTCACCATCACTTGGGAGCCATTCTTCGCCGAGAAGGGCCCTCCGCGAGATTTGCCCGAGATTTTGGTTTCAGAGAAGAGTGCAACATTGCCATGGGCCTGGAGGCTGCCATTTTCTTGATGCTCAGGCAGCATGGCCTTGCATTTCAGAGGCAAATTCGTAATTCGCCATCCAGCCGCTCCCGCAAGCAGAGCTAAACGGCCAGCGCAAGGTTCATGGCTCTGATGCGAAGAAGAAAAGAGAAGTTAGCTGGGCCTTGAGGTGCTTGCTGTGCAAAGGCGGGAACTTATTTACCCAGTTGCCCTGCGCCCTGGTAGTCCTTGCCTCTGCCTGCATTCTTTGGTTCCTGCTATCCAGGATTAATAGCCAGTAGCCTCGGCGCATGTGCAGCGATGCTTGGCACAAGCGTGTGTGTTGCCCTTGGCCGAAAGCAAGCGGCACAAAAAGGAAGGATTGACTTTGAGCAGTCCATGTGGCCTGACTGAGGCCGCAAGCCAAGCACTTGATTCGTGAAAGCATGCTTGGGCCTAAGCCCCAAGTGCCGAATTTGCTGGCAGCTCCAGGCATCTCCAGATCTTTCATTCCACTTGTTGCCTGCCTTTCTCCAAGCAGCCTCAAGAATAGCAACGAGAGGGAGCAGGTGACCTTGAACACTTGCCACGGAGAAGAAGAAGAAGAAGCCTGTCCAATGCAAAAAGGCTTCACCTTGTCTTTTCTAACAGCGCAGCAGCACAGCAGAGAGGATCACCATGTCTGGCCTTTCGGTGCCATGGACTGCCCGTGCGACGCGGAAGCCGCGACTTGAAGCTGCCAGCACAACTGACGGCAGAAAATGCCAGGCAGCTCCTGGACCGGCTCTGTGCTCGTCGAAACCAAGCTGGGAACTGCTTCAACCGGCTCCTGTGGTTCTTCTAGCGGCATGGCAGTGGCGTAGGCAGGCGTCTAGAGCTACCCCACACGTCACTACAAGTACCCAAGCTGAAGCTTTGCAGAAGCCATATGGCCGCCAGGTCACGGCTTGCCAGACAAGCCTCCGCACCTGGAGTGAAAGGCCTGCAAGCGGCTTTTCCTGCCCTCTGATGCGAAACCGGCCAGGCAAAAGCCCTCTTGTCTGGCGCCGCTGGTCGCAACTGCGCGCCCTGGTCATAGGACAGAGTGAGTCATATGCTTGCTTGCTGGTGCTGGTTGCAACAGATTCCAAGATTTGAGTTGCCAGGAGGCTTCGCCCTGCTCGCCTTCTACCGAATACACAAGTGGGGATCGGCAGTGGGCCGTTTGGATACCTTCGCGGAACGAGCCCGTGCCTACCATGGCGTTTGCGGGTCCTTAGCCGCAGACCTGGCCTTCTCATCCATTGCCTTCTTTGCTTTCGCAGTGTGCGCCGGAACTGAAACTGCAATCACCACTTTATGGCCCTGGAAAGTCAGGGAGTATGCGCAACGTGAGTATGAGAAGGAATCGGGTTTGAGAAAAATATGTAAAAGGCTTTCAGGGCGTAGCGGGGCGTGGCGGCCCAAGCTGGCAGGCAGAGCAGAAGGTCAGGGAGATGCGCGAAGGCGGCGGCCCTCAGATCAACACGAAGGCTGGGCTCTAGAGGTACGCACTTCGCTCACACACTCTGAATGTTGCAATCAAATTCGAAGGCTACCCCTCCCCCCTTTTGTCTCAAGGTGGTGCATTGCCAAGGTCTTGTCTGGGAAGCCCTGGGGCTAGGATTCGGCTAGCTTGACCATTCTCCCCGTGCTGGTGCTTGCCGCTTGCTAACCGTATTTCGGTCTGAGAAAGTGATCGGATCTCCAAATGATCCAACCTTTGCAAGCTTCAGCGTTGGTGCATCTTGTGTGATTTCGGAGTTGAGCGGTGGCCGCAACTCAGAAAGAAGACTGAAACAACCCTGATACGGATCAGCTCTACATCGCTCTCTTGATCGCTCACCTCGACTTTGCCAACCGGTAGTGCTCAGAACATCTCGGAATTCCGAAATCGAAGGTGCAGTCAAGGTGGAAAGCTGGATCTCACCCGGATTCATGTACAAGGAATTTGAACACGCGTCTATCAGAGACTATCGTAGCTGGCTGCTGGCTTGGATGTAGTCTGAATTTGAGAAGCATCAAGACTGCCCCTGCGAGTGTCTCACAAGCGTATAGACTTGGTCAGCTAAACTCTGGAAGTGGGTGATCTGCTGGAAGTCGTGCCCAGCGGTTCCTGTGTCATCGCAAGGCGCAGTTGGGCAAATGGACTGCGTTGAGGGAAGACATTCAGCGTTTCATGCAGACCATTTTGATCGGGGCTACTCTAGCCGGTGTCCTGGCTGCAATGTAAGGATCAAGTGTGGCCTGGGTTGAATCAGTCTTTGCTGATGCTTTGGGGGTGCCCTGAACATTAGGTCGACTGCATGCTTATGAGAGGTGTGGTAAGCACGGCCTTCATCACAGAGATTTGTGGTCAGCTCTTCGGACCTCGTGGTTTGGGTATTGTGCGCTGCCTGGATTCCAAAGCCTTGCTTGTAGTCTTGGTATGTCTCGGTGCTGAGATGTGAAGCTCCCGAGGCCACCGTGTCAGTCACCCTGGTACAGCTAACGCCAGGCGCTTAAGCAGACCAATTCGCCGCCCTTTTGGGCACCAGAAGTTTCAAAGGTTTTTTGCTGCCCTTGCGGACACTAAAGTTTCGACTATGGTCCAGAGCAAGGGCATCAGCCTCTCAGACACAGATTTCTTTTTGTGAAGATTGCCAAGGCTGGGCGAGATTCTTCCAAAGAGCATGGCGGTCTCAAATCCCTATAACTTTGCGCAAGCCACGCTGCCCATCTTCTACAGGTGCCAGGGGTGAAGCGGGCTATCATGTTGGAGTTTTTGTGCTGACAGGATCTCAACGGTGGTCTATCCCGTTAGCAAGGTCTTGAACGAGGCGGTCTCTAAGAAGCGGATTGCGGCTAAACTTCATCAGCAGTCTCCATTTCCATCGCTGAGGCGGTATCTCTTCTGCTTCGAATGTGTGGTGTTTTTGTGGATACCAAGAAGACACCCTATGTCTCGGAGGAGGCAGGGATGGCCGTGGCTCAAACATGATTGCACCCCGTTTCATTTTTGTTTGAATTGTTTAACAGTAGTGGCAGTTTACGCTTGTGAGGAGTTGGATCTGGTGTTCCGGTCGGCCATGCAGAGTGGCATTGTCGATGCAGAGGAAGGTGAGATGATACGAAGCGTGCGCAACCTTGATAGCAAGCGCATCAAGGCCGCGCGGTGCTGATTTTCTTCGGTATGTGACAGGTTGCCCGAGAGTTGTAATGTCGAGGAGATCATGACGCCGCTGATCGACATGATCTGCATTGAATCGGCGGAGCCCATCTCAAAGCTCCACAACGTCATTAAGGAGACGCAGCCCCTCGCTTTTGCCAGCTCCCCTCTCCCTACAAGAGTCCGCAAAAGACATGACAAGATGAATCTATCAGGTTCAGTAGAATTCCCGTATACGACATGCGCTTTGACAACATTATTGGTGCCTTGGAGGCAATGGTGGCGCGCTCATGGCACCTGCATGCTTGATTCAACGAAGCAAGGTGTGGTGAGCATGAAGACTCTTCTCAAGAACGCGAACTGCCTGGAAGACTTTGTCAGCGACAATACCAAAAAGGTACAAGAGATCTGCGATATCCCGGTCTTTGTACCTGAGCTCTGGTTTGCAATGACGGTGGTTCTTTGCACCATTTCATTACGTCCCCGTGGCCTCTTCCAGAACCTAAGGAGACAATGTCGTTGATTTCTGCCCTTCGCTTGTTGAAAGAGCGGACGCTGGCGATCTGCGTGGACCAGGGGCTTGCAAAAACTGTTGCGCCAGTTAGCCGACTTCAAATCAAAGCCGGTTGTGACCGGGCTAGCAACCGCTAGTGTTGCAACTTAGCCCCAATATTTTGGCCTTGTTGCGATGTAAAGCAGAGCTGCTCACACCCAACTCGCTATGAAGTGAAGAGACTCCGGGGCTCGAGCTCGCCCGCGGCGCAAACGCAAACTCAAAAAGGAGAGAGCAGGTCGGTTCCCGCATGGAGTCAGTAGAATCGAGTTTTTGAAGTATGCCCGGTTTGAGAATCTGCCGAGGAATATGCTTTCAAGGGGTCCGGGCAGGTATTCCAGAAAAGCAATGTGACGATCCGGGCCACGGCGAGCAATTCGTAGGGGCATCTTCCTCTCGCGAGGCTCAAAGTGAGAGAAGAAGAACAGGTCGGTTAAACAACTCTCATGCAACTGGGGGCAAAATGGTATCCCGGTCCTCGTGGGTATCGATCAACATGCCATGATCTGGGCATGCTCCGATAGGAGAGCGCATAGCCTGTGGAAGACAAGATGAGGTCGTCCTCAAGTCCAAGAATTTTAGACAGGACCACGGCTGGTTCCATGTTATTTCTTGGATTTTTAGGAACGCTTGGAACTTTTGAATTTGGAATTCAAAAAGTCCAGGACCGTGGTTGGTTCCGTATGTCTTCTCGGATTGTGGACATGTTGAGGCTGCAACGTCTGTTGGATATGCGTAAAACCATCAAAAAGGTCCCGGGGGGAGGCGCACCACACCCCTTTTTGACATTGCGATAAGTAAGAAAATGACAGAGGGAATGCCAGGTACAGACATGCGTTAAAACCAGCCTTTCTTCATGCTTCGATAAGTGGAATGAACTGACATGTGGAAAGGCAGGTGCAAGCACAGGTTCAAAGTTCAAACCATTCCCTGCTCGCTTGGAAAACAAATGAGGTGACAGAGGTAGCACCTAGTACAGGCGCCGCATTTTCCCGACTCACGGCTTCCTTTGTTATCAACTCATGCCTTCTCTTTCTGTACGGACGCGCGCCTCTTTTCCCAACTTACGTATTTTCTGTTGCTCGACTCGAGCCTCAACCAAGGACGCGGTGACAGGTATTTCAGCTTGGCATGATGAAGTCAGACAGACGCACAAGTAAATCGAAATTGGGGTGCAAGCTTTACGCAAACTGCAGAGGTCAGACAGTACAGAACGCACACAGCTGACTACAGGCCAAAGGTGCAAAACGCTCCACAGCGAGGACATTGCTGCTAGCAAGCATGTGGACTACAAATGGGAGATGAAGTCCTCGGAAGGCACTTCCTCATAACCGTAGGAGACTCAACTCTTATTGGACTAGGAGGGTTTTGCGAAGAGTATTGTGCAGAGGAAGGCGCTTCGGCTGCAAGCTGCAC